TGTCGCAGTCATGTCATAAAGATCAGAAGTGCCACTTACTGAGCTACTTTTTGCTGCAGATTTAATTTTCCATGACTTCTGGCATTTCTAAAGAGGGAAGCGTCCATGTACGTACAAAAATAGTTCAAACAATATTTTCTTGTCAGGAAACTCATCCGTTCCATGTCAGCAGTAATAGCTTCCTGAGTTATTTCTTTGCTCAGCTTCACTGGGCACAATATTTCAGGTTACAGGAAAGGCAGCGAGAATATTGGATCTTGGATGTTGATATATCTGAATAAAGTTTAGGAAACTGTGTCCAAAAGCAACTGATGTGTGGAGAAGTATTGCCAACTTGAAACAAACTGTATTAACATGACTGCTTTGTGATTTGTGATCTGTGACCTGGCCATTTTAGAAAAAAAATCAACTGACCAACTAGACCACAGTTATGAAGACCTCTAGAGCTGAATATTCCCTGCCAGTTACTGTCTGTGCAGGTAGTTTTTATTCCAAAAAAACCCAAGAATTGTGGGTGATACAAATCCGAAACATGAACAGAAATTGCTGGAAATAGTCAGCAGGTCTGGCTGCATCTATGGAGAGAAAGCAGTTCATATTTTGGGTTCAGTGACCTTTCTTCAGAACAGTTAACTCTGCTTTCTCTCCACAGATGCTGCCAGACCTGCTGACTATTTCCAGCAATTTTAGTTTTTGATGTTCATTTGCATTCCACACCAAATTGAAAATCAGAGTTTTTAATGCAAGAAAATGTGTCTACTGTGGACATGTGCAGGAAATTTAGTCAGATTAAACATAAAGTAGGTAGTGATAAAATTTGACTATTCTTATTTGTGTCTTCCTACCCTTCCCTTCCATCTTTCCACCCTCACCCCTTCACCTTCCCGACTCTGGCACCTATAACCCAGCATCCTTCCCTTCCTCCTATCCAGTTATTCACTGTATCATCCTTAACCCCCACCTTTTCCCTTTTCTATTTCCTCCTTATCTCTTCCTCAATGTTGCTTATTCGACTGTCCCCATGTCTTCTTCCACTTCGCTTATCCCATTCGTCCCATCAACTCAAATTTCCTTCCATGTTTTACTCTTCATCCCTAGCCCTCTTTCCTATTAGCTGTTTTTTTCTCCTTTTTGAATCAGAAAGTTACTCCGTGTAGAATATCCAAGTTGGAAGATAAGGAAAGAAGGGTCACAAATCTAACCAGTCAACACAAGTATCAGTTAAGATAAAACAGATTTGTTGAAGCTTCCAATTTCGATCAAGCATGAGGATTTACTAAATTGAATGGAGCGTGAATAAGAACTCTGATTTAGCTACTCAACGGTATGGCATGTTCAGCACCAAGTGTTCAAATTAACAAGAAAAAGTACTACTTTACACAGTACTGAATAGTACTGAAAAAAAAACTTGCATTTAATTCTGTGACCATCTCAGGTGTACATCTAAATGTTATTTAGAAAGTTGAGGTAAATGTGACATAAGTAAAAGTATAACTAGTGCAGGTGCAAAGGCCAAATGGCTGCTTCCTGAATATTTCTTCTGCACTGTAACAATTGTGTGATTAACTAATTTTGATTTATTTCATTAACACTGATTGTTTAGGAGGTGCTCCTCTGATGCTCCCTGGCCTGCTGTGTTCCTCCAGCTCCACACTTCGTTATCTCTGCATCTGCAGTTCTTGCTATCTCTGCTACATCATAGGAGGTTTTTTGTTTGCAGGATTTAAAGCAACAAATTATGCACATAAGATGCTCCACCTTCATGGGAGCCAGCTCACCACATTAAACTGCCCCAGCAATTCAGCTGCGAAGTATCTAGTATAATTGGATACTAACTGACACCTGCATGTATGGCTCACGATTTCACCTGTGGAACTGCATGCAACTACAAAGTGAGCAAACAGTTGGTTCTTTCAAAAAGATTTTCATTGTCTGGATCATTCTGGAATGGATATGCAGTATGGCCTTGTGGTATCGAGATTTATGGTTGTAAGCTGCATGCTCCGTGGCTTGACTTCAATGAAGGACCAACCTTTTGCATCATTTGCAAACTTGCAAGTCTGGCAGAGGAAGAGAGACTCCGGCCAATGTTGGAGCCTGTCTCATGACATCAACTCGTAGAGCTGTATAGCATGGAAACAGACCCTTCAGTCCAACTTGTCTATGCCGACCAGAAATCCTAAATTAATCTTGTCCTATTTGCCAGCATTTGGCCCATATTCCTCTAAACCCTTCCGATTCATAGACCCATCCAGATGCATTTTAAATGTTGTTATTGTACCAGCCTCCAGCACTTCCTCTGGCAGCTCATTCCATACATGCACTCTCCCCTCCCCACCCCGTGAAAAAGTTGCCCCCTTAGGTCTGTTTTAAAATCTTCCCATTTCACCTTAAACCTATGCCTTCTAATTTTGGACTCGCCCATCCCAGGGAATAGACCTTGGCTATTCACCCTATCTGTGCCCCTCATGATTTTATAAGCTTCTATAAGGTCATCCCTCAGCTTCTGAGACTCCAAAGAAAATAGCCCCAGTCTATTCAGCCTCGCCCTAATAGCTCAAACCCTCCAACCCTGGCAACATGCTTGTTAACCTTTTCTGAACCCTTTCAAGTTTCACAACATCTTTCCTATAGCAGGGCGACCAGAACTGAATGCAGTATTCCAAAAGTGGTCTAACCAATGTCCTGTACAGCCGCAACCTGACCTCTTAACTCCTATACTCAGTGCAGTGACAAAAGGCAAGCATACCAAACGCCGCCTTCACTATCATGTCTACCTGTAATTCTACTTCCAAGGGAAAGTGAACCTGCATTCCAAGGTGTCTTTGTTCAGCAACATGCCCCAGGACCTTACCATTAATTGTATAAGTCCTACCCTCATTTGCCTTTCCAAAATACAGCACCTCACATTTATCTAAATTGCCTATTTGCTCATCTGATCAAGGTCCTGTTGTACTCTGAAGTGACCTTCTTGGCTGTCCGCTGCACCACCAATTTTGGTGCTATCTGCAAACGTACTGACCATACCTCCTGTGTTCACATCCAAATCATTTATATAAATGACAAAAAAACAGTGGACCCAGCACTGACCCTTGTGGCGCATTGCTTGATTCAACCAAATTCAATTTCTCATTTCCCATTACTCAAAAGTTGTCTTACAGCTACCATGAAATTGCCTTCCTTCATTTTGCATTTACTAACCTCTCGTCACTTCACTGCAGTGAAGAGGAGGCAATGGTCAAGTGGTATTATCACTGGGCTGTTAATCCAGAAACCCAGGTAATGTTCTTGGATCGTGGATTCGAAATCTGTCATGTTAGAAGATGGAATTTGAATTCGGTACAAATCTAATCTAAAATCCAATGATGACCATTGTTGCATATTGGGGGGAAAAGACCCTCTGGTTCATAATGTCCTATGAGGAAAGAAACTGCCATCCTAATGTGTTCTGGCCTAAATGTAAGTCCAGACTTCAGCAATGTGGTTGATTCTTAACTGCCCTCTGGACAATTAGGGAGGGCAATAAACGCTGGTCTAGCGAGCAACGTCCTCATCCCATGAATGAATTTTTTTTAAAAACCGCAAAGGTAAGTGCCAACACCCCATGTAAAACCCCTTGTATTTTCCAGTAGTGCTTACCTTACACTGTACCTTTCTGTATTAGGGTGCTGATTCAGGGGTCCTTGTGCTCTGCTGGGATAGAGGTGCTGAAGCCATGTGTGGCAGCGTGAGGTATATTTTCGAAGTGTCCTCCAGATCCAGGATGTCAGCTGTCTGAATTTCCATGACAGCATTTTGGGCTACTGCAACGAAGAGCTTAGGAAAGCTCAAGTTAAATTAAAATAATACATGGTTGTCATGCCAGGTAACTTTAAAATATACCCAACATCACTTGTGTTTTTGGTGTTTTTTAGGCTAGAGGAAAGGAGAGAGGCGACCATCTTATGGTTCTGATTTCATATCTGACTCGCACTTTAATTCCATTAATTGGAGAGGTTAGAAGTAGTGTTTATTCTCTTCCACCTTGAATCGATCGCTAGCTTTGTATGAAGTGTTTTAGGTTGTTTAGTCTTTGTCAAGTTGCTTAATTATCATAAACTTTTGTTTCAGGCATAGTTGGTAAATGTAATGTGCCTTGTATGCTTGTCGATATCCCTTTTTGTTCATGCAGTCCTCCTTTCATCACCTCAAATGAAGTGCACTTTAGGATAATAAGACAAGCCACAAGAGAAATCGCAAAAGCGCACCTGCTAAGCAAAACATTTAATGTTTCTGACAGGGGTAAATCAAAAATTGTTTTCTTTTGAGTGTTGGCTGCATTAAACGTGATAGCTATGACATGGCAGCTTTGAACCAACCAGTTGTGGAATTTGTAAGCGCAGCCTTGTTCTGATGTTGTGTATTTAGGATTGGACAAAGCAGAAATCCCAGTCTGAGGAATTGCAACTAAAACGGTAGTTTTTATTAAAATGTACGTCTTTCCTGAGCTGCTTTGTTTCAAATAAATCGTCTCATCTGTTAATGGGACTTTTGCAATATTTTCCATATTTGTGGGATCATGAAGTAAAGCTATTTTGAGATTATGCAGTCTTTTTCCAAAACTTAATTTACTGAAGGCAAGAACTTGGCAGTGTTGTCACAACCAATTAAGTGTAGTTACTGTTAAGTAAATAAAGCAGAAAGTGTTTGAACAGCAAGATTACATAAATGTAACCAGTGCAGAACATATTATTGTTCTGTGTATGTTGGTATTCTTCATGTTTACTTGTCATCAAACTTTCACATGCATCCAAGTTTAAGATGATAATTTTGTCATGTATCTAACTTTCGAATGCATATGCAGGTATATATTTTATTCAAGATTATGAAATATTCTGGTGACAACTTGCTCAGTACCTAATGAGGGTGAATTTCCTGTATGTTACAAGCAAGTCTCAAGTCTTTACTTTTGCCTCCAAGCCTTTTAATCAAGCCTCTCATTCTTTTGGATTTTCTTGTAGGTTTGATGAACTTGTAAAGAGGTTCAAAGTGGAGTATCATGCTGGTGGCTCTACCCAGAATTCAGTCAAAGTGGCCCAGGTTTGTCTTTACTCAACAATACCTGAGATAATGACTGACTAAATTCTTTCCAATTCTTGTTTAATGGAAAAAATATATTGCTCATTTTTGAAGACAAATATGCAATAATTAATTTGCCACAACTCAAATTTGACTTTAGTGTTGTCGTAAGTGAGGTGAATGTACCATCTCAGAATTCACTTGTGTATAGCAATGTAGTTTTTTTTTTTGCAGGAAGAAGTGCTGTCACAGCACGATAAGCTTGAGTGAAATTTGTTGCTGTTCATTTCGCCTACTTGTATAGGTCAGAAGTGTAGCTATTCTGTTGAGTGGATATAGTCAGGTGTAGTATAAGGTTGTTAAATCCCAGAAATGCCCAAGTCCCATTCACTTGGCAGCGTGAGAAAATTCCATGGGGAATTCTTTTCATTTATTACTATTAATTTTGTTTTTAGTTATTGTATGTTTTACTGTGCTTGGAATGTGTTTAAACATTTCGTGTTTGCAATCCATCTTATTGAAAATTATCTTTCTCCAACTCACTGTTTCCAAATTGTGCGCATTCATATTCAGACTTCCTAGCAGGCCTGACTGGACAATATTTATGCAGATATTTATTCAGACCAGCAGTTCTGCCAATCCTGATCTGTAAAATTAAATTTGTAACATTGAAGGATAAATTCAGCAATTCTATGCTTTAAACAGTGAACTTAATGGAGCATGTTGTAGCCCCCTGCCATTTCTTCCCCAACCCCCAAGTCATTTGCCAGAACCTCCTTTGGCCATTTGCTGTAGACCCCCTCTTGGTCTCAGCTGTACCCCTGTGCGCTCCCGGTTGTCTGCCATAGCCAATTTTGGCCATGTGCTATAGCCTCTATCAAAGTTATTATGGGGATTGCAACATAATTTTGGAGGGCATATTTTTCTTCAAGTTCAGTTTAGGAAGAATGGACTTCAATAAGATATTATCTCAAAAATAATCCAGTTTGCACTGCTCAATCCTGTTCACTGTTGCCCTTTTTGAGATATTTTGCTCAAGTTCAGCAGGTAAGGCAATCTTCCATCCATTCAATTATTTACGCGTGACTATCCAAACTACGCATTGCCAATTGCTTCCTTTCCTTTAAAGAAGGAGGTATATATATCGCTTGCGGCGAAAAGGTTCAAGGGATATGGGGGAAGGTGGGAGTTGGTTATTGAGTTTGGTGATCAGCCATGATCATATTGAATGGTGGAGCAGGCTTGAGGGGTCAAATGGCCTTCTTTGTTTCTATGCTCATACTAGTGAGTGCAGCAGAAACAGTCAACTTGGCACAGAATGTAACCAAGGCTGATGCAAACTTAAGTTTGGAAAACTTATTATAAATAGAGAGCTCATAGATAACAAGCAAGATTCATAAAGCTAATAAACAAATGACAAACTGATCATATTTTACATAGATTCATAAATATTTAAGGTAAAATCAAACTAATAATCAAAACCTTGATCTAAATACTGTGTGCGAGTAATTGGAATTGACCTTCATGATCGGAAGAGCAAGCCGTATAATCTTGAGTGCACAAGCAGTTAAGGCCAGAGTTGGCAAAATTAGTTGGAAGCCAGAACTATAGGCTCTGCATCTGAGTGCACATATCATTCAGCAAAATGGATGAATTATCAACTCAGTCAAATTTTATTGCCTAATAGCCATATCAGAGCTGTAGTTACAAGGTTACTAAGGTTGGGATCTGAATATTCAAGGGTATTCGACATTCTGGAATAACTGGAAGATAGGAAAAGCTGATGTTAATTAAAGATAACATTAGCGTAATAGTGAGTATTTATCTTATTTCTAAACATGAAGATTTCAACCAGAATCTTATAGGGTTCTGAGTGATGTGGACTATGATAGGATGTGTGGCAGAATTGAACATGAAGTCTGAGGGCCATTTCAACATTGCGAACATCACTTTGCAACTTTTATGCTTTAAGGAAATGGAGCGGTGAGTTTTCTTATTGGGCAGTGCCGAGTTGCCAATTCAGGGGAATTATTGCTTAGTAAATGCGATAATTCTTCTGTATCTGCAAAGGTTCTGTTCCTGAGAACTCTGTGAGTGATGAAATTTGAGAGTGCAGAGCTTGTTGAAAATACAGGTTAAAAATAGTCAGAAATCATGGATATGTGATTTTTGTTGTTACTTATTTTTGGGGGTGGATAGGCAAATTCACAATTTGTGATTTTGTTGATAAAGGATTTACTGTACTGGTGTTGGCAATCTTCATAGTACCTCTCTGCACTTGTAGGCTGCTTACAAGGCACAGATTTGCATTGCTGTCACACCAGAAACTCTTGCAGGCTATAGCAGTGACACTGGCATTCCCGAACAGATGCCCAACTTCGAGACTGGCCCAGACTGTAACTTGGGGTGGCTCGTGTTCTCTGTTGGTACTTACTGCATACTCATAGCTTGCCTTGCTGTGGAATAGTCCCCTAAATTTTGTTTTCTGCCACATGTTGGTTCAGCCTGAGTATGCCACACTGATCCTGGCATGTTGTGCTCTGCATGATTGGAGCAAGCAATAAGGCAATGTGCTGGACGTTGTGCAGCAAGAGCAGTGTTCTTAGGAGGACTAGGACATGAGGTGGAGGATGGCCTAGTGTTATTATCGTTGGATTGTTAATCCAAAGACACAGGCACTGTTCTGGGGACCTGCGTTCGAAGCCAGCCATGGCACATGGTAGAATTTGAATTCAATTAATATCTGGAAAGATGACCATGGATCCATTGTCAATTGTCAGAGAAGCCCATCTGGTACACTCTTCCTTTAGGGAAGGAAACTGCCATCCTTACCTATGACTCCAGACCACAGCAATGGCCCTCAGGCCTATCCAGCAATGCCGTCATCCTGTGAATGAATTAAAAAAAACACCTACCCATGACTGAGCTCGGCTACATTGTGCACAAGACAGAGAAAATCTCTTTGACATCCCCTTCTTGTAATGAGAGCAGCAGACTGTGGACTGTAAAATATTCGTTGATTGTGATGCCAAAATCTGGTTTGCATTGTGGGGGCAAACTTCACCTTCCGTTGATTTTGTTTGTGTTTCCTTTTGATTTCTGTAAGTAGAAGCTCATGTTTGTATTTGTTTGCTTGCTTGTCTGTACCTGCAGTTCTCTCCCTGGACAGGGACATGCTGTGGGTCTACACTGTGCATTAGAAGCAGTTCAAATGGGATGTACCTACGGATAACTGCAGTGTCTGGCATGATGGTTACAATAGAGACTAGGGTGACAGAATGGGTTCTGTGTGCAGGGGCATGTCAGCCATGCTGTTTATGAACTGTGTGGCTTTGAGGCTGCTGTGTCATGATGTTGCCAGTGAAGGCCAGTACCAGATTGCCAACACTTGTCCAGGTCTACAGCAGCCTGTCAATGATAATGTGAACGTGAGGAATGGTAGTCTTTTGACAGATATGTACTGAGTGGTGAGATGGAGCAGAAATTGGATGTGAGAGCTGCCGTGGGATGGGGTAGGTAATTAATGCAGCAAGTTTGCTAAGATGCAGCAAGAAACCTTCCAAAAAACTGGAAACAACTCTCTGACTTAGTCAAATAAATACAAGATTCAGCCCATTGAATTGGTTTATGTGAAGCTAAGAATTCACTTGCGGAATTGATTTATCAGCCCACTAATAGTAGCTGCATAATCTCTGTCACCTTAAAGGACAAGAGTAGTAGAAGAAGATGCCAACACCTGCAAGTGTTCCGCTCTGAGCCTAACATTATCCTGACTCCAGTATCACGATTTTTTTCATTTTCGCTGGGTCAGAATTCAGAAAGTCCTTTCACAATAATACATGAGTCTCCCCATGTTCAAACTCCAATGGTTCAAGAGGACAGTTCACACCTTCTGAGCAGCAACTATGGATGGGCAATAAACACTGGCCGAGCTCATAATATCCACCTCCATGAACATTTTTTGTTTTAAAAATTAACCAAGGAATATAGGAAGAAGTAACACAGCAGGCCAAGCAGCATCATAGGAGCAGAGAGGCTGACGTTTCGGGCCTAGACCCTTCATCAGAAAAGGGGGAGGGGAAGGGGGTTTTGAAATAAATAGGGAGAGAGTGGGAGGCGGATAGAAGAGGGATAGAGGAGAGGATAGGTGGAGAGGAAACAAACAGGTCGAAGAGGCGGGGATGGGGCCAGGAAAGGTGAGTGTAGGTAGGGAGTTAGGAAGGGGATAGGTCAGTTCAGGGAGGACGGACAGGTCAAGGGGGCGGGATGAGGTTGGTCGGTAGGAGATGGAGGTG